ATAACATTTTAGCTCCAGCTGGTTTGGGTCAGTGGATAGAGCATTGGCCCATGGACTGAAGGGTACTGGTTTCGATTCCAGTCAAGGGCATATATCTCGGAGATCATCATGTGGGAGGCAACCAATCAATCAATGTTTCTCTCCCTCTCCCCTCCACGCTCTCTAAAAATCAATAGAAAAATATCTTCAAGTGAGGATTAAAAAAAATTAATATCTTTTCATTAATGTTTCAGTTAGAATTTCTTTTTATTATAAGTAAGATTTAACATTTTTATATTTCTCAGTCAATTTTATTTCTTTTTCTGGATAGCTGTTAATATTCTTTATTATTTGATTTGAACACTACTTAAAGTATATCTTGCTCTCTTCCTGAAAGGATTTAAAGTAGCTTAAAGGTCACAAAATGCAGAATAGCATAAATTAAAGTAGGATTAAGTAGAAAAGGAAACAACACGAAGCCAGGATCATGCTTAAATGCATAAAGCAATGACAATAAATCTGCTCTTAGTAGGCAAGAAATTTGCCTCCAAGCTCTCCAGATGTTAGCCTACAAAGAGAATCTTGCCATTTACCAAGTTCACATTGACCAGTAGAGAGAGAATGAAAGAGCAAGAACTAATTGTTCAGGATAAATATAATTAATATTGGTATTAAAATCTGACAAGACTTTATACACACACATGTTATTGATTTCAGAGAGGAAGGGAGAGGGAGAGATAAAAAACATCAATGATGAGAGAGAACCATGGATTGGCTGCCTCCTGCATGCCCCCCACTGGGGATTGAGCCACACCCTGGCATGTGCCCCTGACTGGAATTGAACCCGGGAGCCCCCTGTCTGCAGGCTGAGGCTCTATCCACTGAACCAAACCAGTCAGGGCTTTGACAAGACTTTTAACTATTTTTTTTATTTTGCGTTTTTTTGTATAAATTGCTTTACTTGGATTATTTTAATTTCCATTACTACTTAATGGAGAGTGTATATTATATTAAAGTGATTTTCAAGAGTGTCTGGCATGTGGGAGGGGTCAATGAGTATTAGCTTCTCTGTTAGTTTTGCTAGTATTAAGTTTTTAATATCTAATCCCTAGAATCTGTTTTTATATTAATGTTTATATATTATTTTTAGAAGATTAAGCAACAAACAAGAAAAGTCCTTTGGGATTTTGACTGGATTTGCTTTAGAGCTGTTAAACTAAGAAAATTTGACATCTTTCAATATCCTGCCTTCCAATTTGGTAACATGGCAACTTACTTGTTTGCTTATTATTAAAATAGCTTTATTGAGATATTACTCACATACCATACAATTTACCCATTTAAAGTGTATAACTCAATGGTTTTTAATATGTTGACAAAATGTGTACTATCATCAGCACATTTAATTTTTTTATCCAAATCATCTTTTATGTTTCTACATTACAGATTGATTTAATGCAATTCCTATAGAGGATGTTTTTCTGATGTAGTATGAATTTTTGTTGCCAAAGTGAGTTTCCCCCATATCTTTTCAATCTGAAAGTACATGGGGCTCATGGGAAATGCACCTATCCTCAGACCATAGCATTGCTTGGACTTTCCTTCTTTTGAGAAATTTTCTCTCTAGAACGTCTGATGATCAAAATCCATTTGTTCTCTTTTCCTGGCTTTCCAGTCTCTTAGCTCATGATGGGGTGGTAACAACTGTACCCCTCTCCCTCCAGTCTAGGGGCTTCTGCATATGCTGAAATTATGCAGAAATAATGTAGAAATATTATTACTTTGTGTTAATGTAGCTAGCATATTAAACAGCCACCCTGAGATGCTCTTCTCCTAATACCCCCAACTCCCATGAGCTAATTTACATTCTTTAGTTTTCAGCTAGATTTGCTTTCCAAGGGGAAGGGATCTGGGTGGGGGGCCCTTCTCTGATTCTCTGGTAGATCAGGTCTCCTGTGAGGCTCTCTGATTCTGTTGAAATTGGCCTTAACTTACTTTTAAGTTACCACGATTTAATTTATTAGCTGGTGTATGGGCTCCCCTGATAAATGTCTTCCCTTCCCATAAACTCCATGTGGCAAGGACAATATCTGTTTTGCTCACTATTTAACACCCAGCCACCTAGCATGGCGCCTAGAACAGAAGTTGCTGTGATCGGATGAATTAAAGAAAGAATGAATGGCTTGGAGTAGTTCAGTTTTTCTTCCTCTCACTTCAACCTCTGTTTTCAGTGTCTTGCCTGCCTTGGAGTTCTGGCATCCCTCCCTTCTTCAAGGCCAGCTTTTATTATATGATCTCCTATGTTTTATGAAGCAGCCTCATGATGCTTTATGAAGATCAATAAAGATGGTCTTTATTGTTTGGGGAAATGCTTTATCCCTGCTACAGCTGTGCGAATGTCCTTTCCTTTAATATTTCAGGTTAAAGTTTGCTCTTGCCTTCTCAGCGGGTCTATTTAATTTTAAATATTTACTTGAACGTTCACTAGGACTGTTTTTCTAAAGCTGTGCCATAATTTGTCCATACAAAAATGACACGAGCTTCCTATTCTCTCTAAGGAGCTGACACTTAAAAAAAAAAAAGACATATTAGAGAATAGGGCTAAGGGGGGGCATTTTAAGTGAGAAGCTGGAAAAGAAGAATTAGAAAGTCTGTTAAAATCAGCAGATAGCTCATTTCAGATGCTCACGTATTCTTTCACCTGGGCCACTTCAACTCCAAGAGCAGAGGTTTAAGGTTTATTTTTCAAAGTACTTCACAATTTATGAAGTGATATTTCTCATCTTGTCTTATATCTCAGCACACTGGATGTCAATGGCTGGAAGGCTCTGAGAATGCCCAGGTCTATACCTTAGATCAGTGTTTCCCAAAGTGTGGTATGCGTACCCCCAGGGGTTATGGGAAAAGTTTGGTGGGGGTACGCGTTGCACCAGAGTTTGGTGGGGATATGCACTGCACTGTGCTTAGCTGCACCTAATGCTACGTTCTCATGAGTACGAGGGGGTACTCAGCGTTACGAAAATTATAGAAGGGGTACACATATGTCAAAAGTTTGGGAAACACTGCCTTAGATCATAGGCCCAGGTGAAGACCTTGTTGGATAAAAATACTACTGCAATGTTTACCACCAGTCCATTATCTCACAATGCTAAGAGAAAATGACTTTGGATGATGGGCCAGCAGTGTTAGTTTCCATCTGTCTTCTCTGTTTTCTGCATTGCCTATAATGAATAGTGCTAGTTCTATGTCAGAGAAATGCCTATATAATCTCTTAAATACATTACTCAGATTCTTTCCTGGTCTCATGCTTTCAAGAGCCCACCTGCCTTGAAGCATGGAACTTGCTTCCCAGAAGAGACATGGTGGGGGACCATGGTTGGGAGCCATGAGAAACTACATGTATTACCTTTCATGTAAAATAAATTATTCTGGCAAATAGTTAGGTGAGGATAGAACCATCCTCTTGGAATTTCTTTTGCACAGCAAGCCAGTCCCTTCTCCCTTGAGGTTCTCTGTAAGAGCAGCCAGAAAAAAGGCTATTTCTTCCCTCTGATCACATCAGAAAAAAAAAAGAAAAAGAAAGAAAGAAAGAAAGAAAGAAAGAAAGAAAGAAAGAAAGAAAGAAAGAAAGAAAGAAAGAAAAAGAAAGAAAAAGATCCCAGGCTGCCTTGGCTACTGGAACATGTAGTGAATCACAAATTGTTCTGTTCTGCTCAGCCTTTTGCTTTTCATTTTATTTGATTCAAATTAGTTGGTTGAAGCAAATGAATCTCAATGCTGAAATGGTGATGAGATGTTCACATTCTTAACTCTCAACAGTTTTTTAAAATTGTGTGAAATGTGTAGCTAGCATGCTAAAGAATCATGATCAATAAGAAAAATGGAGCTATTACATTCATTGAAAGTTATCTGACATTGTGATTACAGATACTTAAGCAGCCAGAAATCAATTCATTAACTCAAATTAAATGTGGTTACATTTAGGCCTTTCTCACCGTATGAAGAACTTGCTAGTTATAACAGAAAGTTGACCTTATCCAATTTTACTCACTTTGTCTTATGGGTTGGGCTAGGCTTATAAGTTCACCTTTCTATTGTGGTAAAGTGGGGAATGGAATGATTGTTTCTTCTGCTTAAAAATGTGTTTTACTGCTATGTAAATTGTATGATTATCTGTATGATTGTATTTTTAATCCCCTAAAATCATTGCTTTATATTTCTCCTGCATAGCATCCTGATTTCATTTTGGCAATCTTTGGGTCTGATTTGTGATACTTACCACTGCTTTACCAGTTCATATGAACTCTACCCTCCTCCTTCCTTCTACCTTTAAGGTCAACTATCTAGAATATAAAAAGCAGCCTATATTAGAGACATTTTGCTTAAATGTCCTTGGGCAATTGTAATGTAACTGTTGGTGGCCTACCCCCAACCCAAGGTGACCAGTTTTACAGTTTTCTGCATTCTATAAGGACACTCTGTTCTTTACTAATCTTGCCACCTCAGTTAGTTCAGCATTCCTTCTTATATACCTACTGAGATCTTTAGCATTTGACTTGGGGAGCTAATAATAAAATGTTAGTTCTTAACATTTATTATTTTTTAATGGTGACAAAAAGATGCTTTACTATTTAAAATATGGATTATACTATTTATTTCCATTAATTCTTAAGAGAAATAATCTGTTTTTGAAATCTGCTTTGGGTGAATATGCTTTGTAAGATTATTCCCAAATAGCCATTCTATCAGTCAAATAACACAGGGAAAAATTGTGCTAATAGATGTTTCTACCAGAAAGACTTTCGCTGGAACAAATGCCCCCTGAAATGCTTCACTCTTTTTGTTGCATTTAATACAACAATAAAACACATAATTCAACGAGGCAACAGATTTTTGGACTAGTCTATAGGCAGCTGAGGGAATTTTTTGTTTTCAATGAAAGAACATAGACAAACTACAGCATAAGACACAATATATGGAGTTATAATGGATGATAAAGAGAGCTAAAAAGGAAGCATTACCTTAGGGTCATGTATCCCAGAAAGCTCTTCATAGATCTTCTCACCGACCATGACAGCAGCCAAGTTTGCCGTGTATGTAGAAAGGCAAAACATACAGAAAATAGCCCAAAGGTTCATAAGAAACCTTCCAGTCCAGCATTTTGGGGGTTTGATGGCTGCTGTTCTACCAAACAAGAGAGCATAGCAGACATTCAAGGCTGAAGAGAAAGAGAAGACTTTACTTCTATTCCGCCCCTTGGGAGTCATACCAAAGGGGCTCTTCCATTCATATAGAGTGAGGAAGATGGCAGTGATGTGCAGAGCCACAAAAATCCCTAGCCACAACGTCCAGTGCAGTGGCCACATGAAGGCTCCAATGGGAGCTGCTGTGTCTCGGGTCCTCACTAAGATGCCCAAGCTGGTGGAGAAAAAAGGACTGGTGAAGTCTATCACCTGACTTCGTGCAGTATTGATGCTGAAGGAAGTGACTGCCATGTGGGCTGAACCACTCAGGAGATCACCCACTAGTCCAGTCCAGTGCCCATTTTTCCAGGCTCCATATTTTCCATCTCCAACGATATAGAGGTCAAAGTCAAAGTTCATGTCTTCTGCTAGCTTTTCCAGCAGATCAATGCAATAGCCATAGCAGCACTTCTTGAGTTTGATGGACACTGTATCATTACCGCTATGGAGGCTACTAAAAAGGCTGTCCAATATGGAAGAGTCATTAGTCATGGGGTCAAGGCAGAGTTGGCCAGCAGGGCACAAGCCTTCCTCGTCTACCTCCCGAGTGAAGACAAATGGATGCTCAACCAGGGTAACCACTCTCAGGTGTAGCTTACTTGGGTTTTGGAAGTGGGTTTTATGCCTCTGGGCCTGCTCTGGCCAAATTCCATAGTCCATGACAACCTTTCCCCCTTGCCAGCTGCCCAAGCGGGTCCACATTGGCTTTCCCAGGGGGTCATGTTGCAGATTCCAGATGAAAAAGTTGTTTTCTGAGCTGATGATAGAGGAACCTTTTACTTTGATGGAACCACTGAGGCCTCTGAAAGTGGTGTTGGCTAGAAACCTGGGAAAGAGGAGCAAAGGCAAAAAGAAAGAGAGAAGTGAAGCCAAAGACAGAAAGCTATGCTCATTTTTACTTCTTTGTCTTAGAAGAAACTCTGATCTTTAAAAAAAAAAGGGGGGGGGGCATTGCCTATAATTTCTTCAGGAATGAGTAATCTGGACTCTTTCTAGGAGAAGAGTCCTATCTTATTGAGCCAATGAGCTTCTACCCTCACACCCTGGCTAGATGCTTAGCTCTTAATCTTACTCCAAATTTCTTTATTCCTAGTTAAGGGAGGTGTTAATTGTTTTTTGCTGTAAACTGATAATTATATATTTTCCAATCTGTGGAGTTCCTCAACATCTTTAACATGTCCATTTTTTCTGGTCATTACATTTGATTACAACTAAATCAGCTCAATAAATATTTTTTTGGTGCAAGGAATAAGTTCTGATAAATATTTAATATACATATCCTATATAATAAAAGGCTAATATGCAAATTGACTGAACAGCAGAACAAGTTGCTATGATGTGCACTGACCACCTGGGGGCAGAAGCTCAATGCAGAAGCTGCCCCAGGTGGTCAGTGCGCTCCCACAGGGGGAGCACTGCTTAGCCAGAAGCCAGGCTCACACTGATGACTCAGCGATGGGTGACGGGAGCCTCTCCCACCTCCGAGGCAGTGAAATATCCCCCAAAGACTCCTGGATTGCAAGAGGGCACAGGCCAGGCTGAGGGACCCCCTCTGAGTGCACGAATTTTGTGCACCAAGGCCTCTAGTACTTTTATAATTGCTTAAAAATTGTATTCATATTCTAGAAAGCTGACAAGTCTTGTTACCAGTGTTTTTTCTTGGTAGAGTGAAAACAATCAACATATCCGCAGCCCTGAGACCAGTGAAAGCTGCATGTGGGCTATTGTCTGGGGGACAAACAAAAAGATGATAAATAGGTCTGCAGTTCTCCGGGAAGCTTCAGGCTACCCTCCCTCTAGGTCATTAGAGAATAACAATGGGCTCTGGCTTAGAAAGCGCTTCTGCCAAAAGTCAAAGGGAGGAAAATTATGAACTGAAGGATACACTGATTCCTAACTCTGCTAACCAGGGCACTGACAGTATATATATGTTTTGACATGGATGGGACAGGAAAATGCTTTGTCTCTCTAGGGCAGTGGTTCTCAACCTTTCTAATGCCACGACCCTTTAATACAGTTCCTCATGTTGTGGTGACTCCCAACCATAAAATTATTTCGTTGCTATTTCATAACTATAATTTTGCTATGGTTAAGAGTTGTAATGTAAATATCTGTGTTTTCTGATGGTTTTAAGCTCTACAGCAGCGGTTTCCAAGCTGTGGGTTGTGACCCACAGGTTGAGAACCGCTAGCAGGGTCGCCTAAGAAAACACAGATATTATGTATGATTCATAACAGCAGCAAAATTACAATTATGAAGTAGCAATGAAAATAACTTTATGGTTGGAGTCACCACAACATGAGGAACTATATTAAAGGGTCGTGGCATTAGAAAGGTTGAGAACCACTGCTCTAGAGTCTAGGAAGATAAAACAATAGAGGTAACATGAAAGCTAGTGGCACCTATGTATTCTTGCTTGTGGCCTAGTGTCAGAAATGGAAGCCCAGACTTTGACATCAGACACACCTCTGTGAATACTAGTCCAGCTACCTTATAGCATCATCCTCGGACAACTAACAGAATTCTAACCTTCATAATCAGAAAAATGGGTAAACTAATACTTCCTCCATGATAAAGGTTGGAAATAAGGCACATAAAGAACATATCCTACCTCATGACATGTAACAGATAATCCAGATATAGTAGTAATATTTTTGTGTCATTCAAGTTTTTTTTGACCATGGCTGTCCCCAGGTCACTTTCCTGTCTTTTAGTATAATTTTTCAGGTGGGAGACACAAAATTCTACATTATGATAAACTCATAGAGGGTACTCAAAACACATTTCAAATGAAAAGGAATTAAAGTGAAATAAAAAATATTTTTGAGGAAGTCAGATATTTTAATCTAGGCTCTCAGCAAGACACATTCATTCACTACCTGCCACAAACATTACCCTGTAATTTACAAATGCAAATACAAGCAGTAAGAAGTTATGCTGCCACAGAAGGGAGATAGAGAAATCAGAAAGTGTGAAGAATGTACTAATTTTCATTAGAGATATAAATGTAAATCGTATTTGAAGATGCTACTATCAGTAAATGCAATGGTGAAACTACTCATTTTGGTAGATTGCATGTAATGGTAATTATTCATGTTAGCACTCCCCAGTGGGATTTAACCACTTAAAATGAGTTCTATTTTGCAACAAGTAATGAAGTCTCAGTTACTGTAGACTTTAAAATGCTTTTCTTCTTCTTTAGAGAAGTAGGGATCTAAGTCATTAAAATATACAGATTAATCAATTGATAATTATCTAGGTACCATAAGGAAAGGATGACTACATTTGTATTTCTAATGAGCAACCTACTTTTATATTTGTTAAGAAACACCACACACACACACACACACACACACACACACACACACACACACACTCTTGCTGACATAGCCTAGCAATAAATAGGTTAATTTCATTTAGTTACTTTAGTGGTTGGGAAAATAAAGTTAAAGTTGTAGAAAGAGGAGCCCTTCATTATTTAAGAATATTGGGACTTAATGATTATAGATTTTCAACTGAATGGGCCCTTGAAAGACTACCAATGAATAAATATATACTTAAGTTATCTCAGGAAAGAAGGCACTAAGAAGTTATCAGAAATCTTTCAGAGATTACATAACCCCGTCATTCCAGTAAAACAATTCTGCCTTATCAGTGACAATGATACTGAAGATGGCCAGGGTTGATCTCAGTTGTCTATGAGGTATTCATTTGTCACAGGAAAGCAAACCAATCAGAATAGAAATGTCTTTAGTTTCCCCAGAGCACAGAGCTAGTTTCACTATGCAATTGGCACCAAGAAATGAAGACTCAGAAAATGCCCATTTATGACATTACTAGAGGTCCAGTGCATAAAATTCGTGCACTGGGGAGGAGGTGGGTGGGGGAGAGATGTCCCTCAGCCTAGCTTGCACTCTCTCCAATCTGGGACCTCTCCGGGGATTGGGCATAAATGGGCAGTTGGACATCCCTCTCACAATCTAGGCTTGCTGGCTCCCAATTGCTCTCCTGCCTGCCTGCCTGTCTGCCTGCTTACCCCTAACCACTTCTGCCTGCCAACCTGGTGATGTGGGTGGGAAATGAATTACAAAAGGTCTGAGGCCACGATGAAGGTAATGGACAGCCATTGAGGGAATTTTATCTGGGGAAGGAAGTGATCATTAAATTTGATTTTAGAAAGATTTCTCCCCTTAGCTACTTAGGAAATGGTTTGGAAGGAGGAGAGGGCTGAAATAGTTTCAGTTGTAAGGAATAATTTTCTTTCACCTCTTGCTTCCTCTTTTCCCCCCTCTCTGCTTTTCCCCACAGGAGCTTAAAGCAACAAGGGCTAAGATAATAGCAGTAGAAGTGAAGAAAAGATGGCACAATCAAGAGACACATAATTTCCAAAAGAAAAGCAGTGATTTAAAAAGGCCAAAGCCCCAGCCAGTCTAGCTCAGTGGATAGAGTGATAGCTCTCGGACCAAAGTGTCCAGAGTTCAATACTGGCCAAGGTTATATACCTTGGGTGCACGCTCCATCCCTCTATAAAAAATCTTTGGGTGAGGATTAACAAAATAAAATAAAATAAAATAAAAAGGGCCAATTGGAAATGATTGCATTTAGTTCACAAACCATACTAAAAATGTGTGAAACTCGGCCTGATGGAAGGTCATATAAATAAAATCTGGAGTGTTTAGTTGAATATCAACTCTGTGTAGACCCATAGAGCAATGTCTGTATAAAAAAGGAGAAAAATAATCTCAATTTTTTAAAATAGAAATTTAGAGCCTGAGTCACAAGAACAAACAACACCACATTGTGTGCTGACCACAGTGCTGCTCCAGCCTAGATATGAATTCTAAATAAATCTTCCAGATCCAGGAAGGTTGTAAGGAAAGGTAAGGAGGTGGTAAGCGCAATGAGCTGATTGGAGCTCTGAGGACTTTTGAACTTCATATAACCAGAGACCTGCCTTAGTAATACTGATCTGAGAATGAAACGTATGTTTAGGAAGGAAGAGATGGCGACTGGGTAACCACTTAGAAGAATATTTCAGTAGCTTTGTCACAGTATGACAAAGGCTTAGGTGTCACTGTATAAGTGAGAACCTGGTTTAGAACTGTGCCTTGCACCATTCCTCTCATTAGTTCATTTGCAATGGGGTAACTTATTACTTTAATAAAAATCCTCAATTATGGCACTAAGAATACATGTTGATTTACATAGGAGCTGAGGTAAAATTTGCATTTTGCAAATTATGTAAAAATATTTTTTGAGGCAGTTCACAGTATAAACAAGATTAGTGGTGAATGTGTTTAAGATATATTTTAAAAGCCACATTTGCACATAAAACTTGATGTACTAAAGAATTTTTTTATTCATTAAAACAAATGAATAAAGATGTTAACAAAACAACACATCATCCATTCAATCATTTATTCATTTAACTAGAGGGCAGGTACATGAAATTCCTGCATGGGATTGGGGGTGGTGATGGAGGAAGTCCCTCAGCCCAGCCTAAACCCTCTTATGCAGTCTTGAAGCCTTCAGAGGACGTCCAACTGATGGCTTAGGCCCACTCCCTAAGCCCGCTCCCAGTGGGGAGGGGTCTAAGACAGCAGTTGGACATCCTTAGCACTGCAATGGAGGTGGGAAAGGTGTACTCATCAGCAGTGAGTTTGGCTCAAGGCTTCTGGCTGAGGGGTGCTCCCCCTGTGGGAGCACACTAACTACCAGGGGGCAACTCCTGCATTTGGCATCTTCCCCTGGTGGTCAGTGTGTGACATAACAACTATTTGTTCCACAGTTCGGACGATTTGCATATTAGCCTTTTATTATATAGGA